TCCCCCCCCCCCCCCCCCCCCCCCCATCCCATCGCTGCCATGTCAGGAGTGGCAGACTGCTCAGCGACAGGCCGAGAACACCAAGCAGACGCCACAAGACCGATGTGGTCCCCCGGCAAGTGGTTCAACGACAGGATACCCGGCGGATCACGCAGCAGCACCGCCGCCCACGCTCCAGCTGTGCGGCTTCATCTCGGGCTCCGGCCGCAGTTTGGAGGACCTTTCGGTTCTTGGGAGAAAGATCTGGGAGATCGCTCACGAGGAGTCCCTGTTCCCGGACATCCATCAGAAGATCCCCAAATCCTGGAGGAGGGTGTGGGCTGTCATGGATGCATTGCGCGAGGGAGCAGACCCCCAGAAAGCGGTGCGACTGGACGGTCCTCTTGCCCCGGTCGAAGGGCGCGAGAAGCGCGAGTTTGTGACCCGGGAAGAAGCATTCGAAGCGTGGTGGGGTGCGGATGGCGAATCAGTGGCGGAGCTGAAGGCCAAAGGCCCAGACAGCCAACATCTCAACCAGGATTCCCAACGCCTCTTCCAGGTAGGGTGGGACGTTCTTTACGTACCCAAGTCCAGTTCTCGCGCGCACCGTGGTGTCCATTTTTTGGGTGTTCGGCCGTCAATTGTGCCAATACCATGCCTGAGGTACACCTTCCCGTCTGGAAGACGCCACTCCCGCGCCGCTTACATGTGTGATCAAAAAGGAGTTCACGACTTGCCCGGGATTATCCCAGTGTGATGCTCCTGCGATCGACAAGGACATCAAGTATTCCCGAGGGCTATTCCTCCTGCGGCACGACCATACGTTGTTGGATAGGTGTAAAATGCCCACGGAGCAGTGCTCGTCTGAGGCACGCGACGTGGTTGAGTTGTCAGGAAGGGGTGAGCGATGGAGTTCGAACGAACTAGAGAGCGGCAGGGCAATGTTCCGCCGAAACGTGTGAGGTGTTCAGCGTGATTTTCGATGTCATTTCCGAAAAATGCGCACGAACGGGATGGACCAAACGCTGCACCAAACAGTGCGCTGCTGATTTTCCGCGCATGCATGTCTTCGCCGGGCTGCATCAATGGGTGCAATTGAACAGGCGGCGCTAAAGCTGCGGCAGATGGGTGGATCAGTCCTGGCGGCGTGTGGCCTGGTCCACCTAAACGTCGCCTGGATCAATGAGTTGCTGCGGGAGCTCCTGGACCATCGCTTGGCTGATCCAAAGCAGGCGAGCTTTGTTTCTCTTTCCCACTTTGCTGCTGTAGTCGAATGTAGTGTGCGGACATGTAGCTCAGTTCTGGGCACGCGCACGTACTGCAGGGATTGTGGGTGTACCTCTTCGGGCTTGTGTGCCCTTTTCTTGCAAAGTGTGCGTGTTCTTTTGATCCTCTGATGGCTCTAGCATTGTTGTGACTACGGACCGAGCCTTTTCTAGATTTTGGGAGAAGCAACAACAACAACGACGTTGAAGCCGGTGTGTTGTCGGGAGCATTGGCCGCCACAGAAGTCCAGCTCACGAGCAGCCAGGGGAGATGAACCCCTCCCTGAGTCAGACTGCTACTTCGCCGCCAGAGTGGCACGTAGAGGCGTCATCGCCCGTGACATCGCCCGTGAAACTGCGGTGAAGGGGTGAAGGATCGGCATGCCTACTACGGGTTTCAAAACTGCAAAATCAAGTGGTAGAGGTAGTATTCCTCGTCCTAGATCCCGTCGACGAGCGCAGACATGTTAGAAGCTTGTCCAAACATGTTTGAGCTCGTCAAAACACGTTGAAGCTCGTCCGGCCCAACATGCCGAGTGGAGAGACCCGTACTCACCCCACGGAAGTACGTCGGTAGGCTCCTTCATGTAGCGGAAGGACACATTGATAACGTCATTAGCCATCCCACGCCGCCGATCCCACCTCCCGGACTCACATCAAGCGGCCAACAGCAGTAGCCAAGAACAACGAACTATGGGCAAGTTGCCCGATTTCTGTCCCATGGCTCTCAGCGGGTATACGTATCCCCCACGCTATCGCTGGAATGCTCAGGCCAACTGGTGGGTTGAGCAGCTAAGGACGTACTGCCGCGAACGTGGCGTCTTATTCAACAGGCTCATCGGCATTCACAGGTTGGAAAGTGGTGGTCGGTGTGCCTGTCGAATTGGATAGAGCTAGACCCTCCCTGCCTGTCGTAGCTTTTGACATGGGCAGATCGACAACGACGAGTATCGTAGTCACAGGGTGCAAACCGTGCCATGCAAGAACAACCAGTCGTGTGCTTTGAGGTATATCGGACAGAGTTGTCTGGAGTTCAGGACTTTTACCGTCTCACACTTCCCGGTACGGTGCCCTGTCTTTGCGCGTAGGCGTTTTGTCATAACGGGGGTGATCACGAAGGAGTACCTTCGTTTTCTGTGGCGGGAGGTAAAGGCGGTCCAGGACGATGAAGTGTTCGACCGCCTAGTCGATACGATGGCTCTGCACGACGCTATGTTTCCGTGCGACAAGAATGGGATCCATCAGGAAGGAGAGTTCATGGTACCCGCTCGGCTCCCGGCCAGCGTTCCGTGTGCCTCCCTCGCGGAGCTGGAGAAAGCAATATCTCAAGGTACCCGGATGCAGTTCGTCATCGCGATCTACGCCGGCTATGTCCCGCCGGGAATCATCCCGCAATTTCTCGGCGAATTGAAACGTAGGGACTGCGGGATTTCCGGAGAGTTCGTGTTTCACGTTTCCTGGCACCGGGGGGTGGCGTTCATGACGGCAGGACAGCAGATCCTTGTGCGCCTCGGGGAGACTTGTGTTCCATCCCAACGTGTAGTGGAGGTGAACATTGCCGGGGATGCCGAAAAGGACGTGTACGACACTGGTTTCGCAATTAAGAAACTTATTGTACGTCTTCTGGAAAAGCGGTACCCAGGGCTGGACTTCGACCCTGAGGCTAACCCCACCTTAATGAAGGGGAAAGAAGCCTGGCAGGAGACCCGGGCCGCGCTTCGGGGAGACTTGGTCGAAGAGGTACGGCGAAGTAGATTTTTGTTCTGGTACATTCTCCGAGCGTTCGTTGGTATCATAACGTGTATCACCGATGTAAGGTGTTCTTCACGGGTGCTTTCGAATCAAGCCCATCCCATGTAGAGCGTGTATCGGAGGCACCCAAAACTGGTCTCGTTGTCGCACGGCAGAAAGTCCAAGTGCTCTTAGCAGATGATATCTTCTGTAGGAAACCTTGTTTGGTTAATGGAGCAACAAAGAGCAACATTTACCCCTACCGTTGCTCTCCGTTCCCCTTGTTCGCCTTCTCGGCCCGGTGCAGCTGGAACGAAACCTGGAGGCGGTGCTGAGAAGGATCCTAGAACCCTCCAGCAATCCAGGCGACGGGCTGGCGGAATCCAACACGCTCATCCCAAAACTCATCGATGGAGCTCTGGCGAAGAGGCTCACTAGCCTGTGCTCAGACATGCAGCTAGACGTCAACCGCAAGTTGAACGAGACGACTATGGAGATTGTGGCCGGCGTGGAACAAGTCGTCCAGGCGAACCTGTCGAACGCGGCGGTTGTTGGGCTGAGACCGTCAGAGAGGAACATCCTGGTTGGCGTGGCGCGGGAATTGGCCCTTCTGCGGTGAGCATCCCCAACAGCAAGGTTTGGTTACGGGAGTGTTTCTCACTCACGAGCACTCTCGGGTGAGCTGTTGCCCACCGGGAAACATTTATAGGATACGTATGGTCCGTGCACAACAATTTGTCCAATCACGTTTTGTGCGATAACTTTTTTTTGAAAAAAAATTGGAACGTGAAACAACGATGGTCGTGACCGCCTCGTCGAGATACGTCGATAGCCGCAGAGTTTTTTTTTTTCTGGTGACATGCAACATTTTTGACCAAAATCATACACGGAGACCCCCAGAATGCAGTATACCTCCCCTATGTAATCACGGAACCCCCCTAATCGTTCCCTGGAGGGGCCCCCCCCCCCCCTCTCTTACTGCCTGCTTGATACACCATGGACACCTCACGTTCGCACTTTGCAGACACCACGCATAACTGTTGAATAAACAATACTTCAACGTAAAAAACACCCAATAATGCATACAGAGACACACACATCACGACGCAGTGTTCTCGGCCTCCTTCTCCTCTCCCCCCTCCTTCTCTTCCTCCCTCTGCTTGTTCTTCCACGCTTTGAATGCCCTTTTGGCCCTCCTCGTGGAGAAGGTTCGGCATTCCTGCGAAGCCGCCAACGCCTTCGCCGCCGCGGCGTCCTTTTCCGCTTGTGTTTTTCCTCGCCCCGCTGCCTCCAAAACCGCATCCCCCCTTCGGGTGGCTTCTCGGTGCGTGTGCCACTCCTTGAGTTCGCGGTTCTTGAGGTAGCCCACCATCCCGTCGTCGTACGCTTCAATGTATAGCCACACCACCCTGCTCCACGCGCGGATGTGTTCCAAAGGCACCCCACTCAACGCCCTCGGCAGAATCTTGAGCATGTGGGTGAGGGAGTACTCGCAGTGAAGCCGAAGGACGTGCTTGACGTATCTCCAGTACCGCTCAATGGCATTGAGCTCAGGGTGGTACTTGGGAAGGAAGATGCACACGTGACCGGCGTCCTTGAAGATCTGCTGGACTTTGTTGAGCTGGGCCTTGAAAGCCCCCAGGTCGGAGAAGACCCTTTCCATGCAGCATCGCTGCCTCCTTGCGGCCGCCCTTCCCTCTGCCGCGGGGCCTTCGGCAGGAGAACTCTGCTGCTCCCGCCGCGCTTGCTCTAGAACCCTCTCACGCTGCTCGCCGCCTTTGTTGAATGCTGCGATCGCTTGCCGTGAGGCCGCGTTGTCGGCCTTGCACTTGTTGCAGCACTTGACGAGCCCCTTCGCCCTCTCGCCGTCAAGCCGCCACAACCCCATCTCCTTGAGCATCTGCTCACCTCCTTTGTTGAGCCCGAGCAGCGGCGATCCAGACGTGACTCTGGTTCCGACGGGGTACTTCTTTTTGTCAAGCCCCGTTCCAAATTTGCGCCCCTTCATCTTCTTCTGCGCCTCTGTCTTCGGTAAGAATATCTTCTTGTCGGTGAGCAGGGTGTCACCAACCTGAAATGTAGGGTGTACCGTTTTCCCGTTGTCATCCTCGAACACCCTGAGCGCGGCCTTCTCCCCACCCGGCGCCAAGCTGATCTTGTGGGCCAGCAACGCGTCGTCGTCGTAGGCGTTGTGCCCAGTGGAATTGTCGAAGATGAAGACACCCTGGCGGTGCGGCCCGTTCGACAGCTCGAACATAGCGATAGCCGCCGGTAGTTGGGCGCACATGCGGTCGCTCGTCCAGTAGCCATCATGCTGCTTCCCAACAGTCATGATGACAGCAGCCGTCCGTGGGTCGTTCGCTGTCTTGAGCACCTCGCAGTCTGCAGCAGCCTTCTTCAGCACTTTCACCGCATCTTGAATCTCCTTCACCTTGTGGCTATCTTCCCCCTCACCCTCCGTCCTGCCGAAGTACTTCCCAGATCGCTCCGTACCGGCATCCTTGTCCTCCTGCATCATGCCCCACACCTCCTCGCTGATCTGTAGCTGCCCAAGGTCGACGCCGATCACATCCGAGATGTGCGCGGCGCGGCCCTCCCCCTTGACTTTCATGGCGGCCCCCTTGTCCGCTGAGAGCCATTGGTGGTCCCCATCGTCGTTCTCCTTCGCGGTGGTCTCGTCGTGGAACAACAGCGACAACACTTCGTGATCAGGCAGCAGGCGGTAATCCCCCTTTCCATCGGTGGCGATGAGGTCGCGTTGATCGAAGGGCAGCTGCGTGGAGTCGACGCCCGGCTTGCGCATGCAGTTGTAGCACTCACATCGAACGTAGCACGAGCACTTGCCCCAGAGCTTTCGCTGGTCGCACGGGCATTCCTTGAGCCGTTGCACACGCACGCAATCCCTCCCGAGAGCATTCGCGGGGTCGTGGATGCGCACGTGCTTGTACTGATCCTCGTCGTCAACCGTCCGCACTGCTGGCCAGAAAAGCGCTTCGCGTTTCACCTTCTTCGGTCGATAGAACTTCATGACCTCGTCGTCAGGGAGCAAGCAGTAGTCACCCTTGGAGTCGGGTGCCGCCAAGTCGCGCGGGTCGAACGGAACACGCGTGCAGTCGTCTGCCACGCGCTTTGACGTCTCGCCATCGCCGTAGACGCGCACGTGCTTGTACTCCTTCTTGCCCTCGACTTCCCTGACCGCTGGCCAGAGAAGAGGTTCCCGGCCCGTCGTCTCCCCGTTGATGTGCTCGTCGTCGCCCGTCTCCGACCTGGCCCCGCTGTCCCGCTCGTCGCCGCTGACGTCCGAGTCATCTGATGCTCCCTCCTGCCGAGCTTCACCGCGGCTGGTTGCCACCATCACCGTTTCTTCCACGCGGACGGGACTGCCAACGGGGCAAAGATTGAGTCAGCAGCAACGGAAGGACCATGATAGGTTGAGACATAATCTTCGCAGTTGGGTTCTTGCTTGATTTTGTGTTTATGAAGGGGGAGGGAGGGTTACGCCGCGGGTATCAGGCGGACGATGAAGAGCAGTATGTCGCATGTGGCACTTCACAGCACGCCAACAGAATAAAAAATAAAAAAACGCTCGAGGGGTGCTTCATATCCCAGGCCCATTAAAAAACGTTTTCTCACATGGACATGTTCTGGTGCAGGCGCTTTAGCAACTCCACAAAGCTCCGACGGTCGGTGACGACGTCCGGTCTGTTGTGGCCGTCCACGTACACGCACTTGTGGTGCCTCGACCATCGAAAGCCGAGCTTTTGCATCCACTTGTGCACGGTCCTCCGAGAAATTCCTCTCGTACCGGCAAGCTCCTCTTTCAGTAGATCTTCATTGATCCACCTGTTTCAAAGTAACGTCGTGGCAGAGGAGTGTATGCAACGAAGACAACGAAAACAGTGGGAACCGACGTGGGTGGGTAGGGAGGGGGTTCTTCGCAGTACATGAGACAAAGTGTTCACAACGAAAAACTGATGTAAGGGGGGCGGGTCGCTGGCCAACTGAGCAGATATCCCGCAAGCAATAAATTCCATTCCGAAGACAGGGTGTCTAAAGCTGGCAGAGGGTCACCTAAAAAAAAAACAACTCACGAATACAAAAGCAGCGTGCCCACACAATTTTGCGCACGGGTTTCTACCTCCACCAACGAACGACATACCTTCGTTTCCTCTATTTCCAAAACACTCACTTTTGCACGTCGGCGATTCGAAGGCGTGGCTCGTCCTTCTTCCGTCGGTACAGCCTCCGGTCGATGTACTCCCTCAGGCGACCGCGGATGTCCTCATCGTCGATGTAGGAGTGCGGCTCCCGCTTGTTGTACTGCCGTTTGCGAACAACGAAGGAGTCACCCTTGCAAAACTCCTTCACCCAACGCCTCACTGTTCTCGAGTCGACGTCGGCGACCTTGCCTGCTTCTCTGCTGTGCTCCATTTTCGCGACCCCATCTTGGATTCTGTCGTTAATTCGGTCGGCATTTTCGCGGGGGGATATGTGGTAAACGGAGTATCCTCTTCTGAGACAGCACCATCGCTCAGCAATATCTAACCGGCATGAACATGCAGCGCGAATGGTGCTTCAACGGCAGCGCCGATCCAATCAATGCCCAATGGTTCAAACGAAGATGCAAGACAGGAGAAGACAGCACTACACATTCCCCGCCCACTCACTCGAGAAACAGGAAATGCTTCACGGTGCGGATGACACGGGTGGTGCGAACCAGGTGTGCTTCATCCAGCATCGTCGTCGAATCCTCCACCACTGATCCGTAGTTGTTGGTCTCTTCAGCCTGAGACGAAGGAGGAAGAACACGGGCGTTTTGGAGATGTCGCTGTCAGCAGAAATTTCAGGCGACCTCATCTCTACCGTAGGTTTCGATATCGGGGGGCGGGGGGGAAGAACGGAAAAGAACATGGGCTCACGGCACGCAACCATCAGCACCTAAAAACACGGCGGTGACGCCCTATGGGTGGCCACAGCAGTGTTGAGAACAGGCGCCAAATTTGCCAGTGTCTGACGCTCAAAACCACAACAAATATTTAAAGTTGGCTTTCATTGAAAAGCATTGATCAGGTACAGCTACCACGGACCTCACCTTCTGAAGCACGTCGTAGGCGTTGCGATAGGTTTCCATGAGCTCTGCCTTACGCCTCGACCAGTGCTTGCGTGTTCGATCCCTTGCCCGAGCCAGCGCCGCAGGCGTCCATATCTTGCCCTCCTGCGCCACCCTCTCCCTTCGCACGGCGCGCCGCGACTTGTTCGTCTGAAGCTGCATCGCAGTGACACCTGATCTGTCGTGGACCTCTTCCGGCGCCAGAACCTTGTTGCCTCTCCCTGTCCCACCTTTGTTGTTTCCAGCCGTGTTGTCGTATCGGCGGGTGGGTGCAGCAAACCTACCGCCGAAACGGCCGTCTCGGATGCTTCGACGGGAGGGCCCTGGTGGGAGGAGGTCCGCAACGACGGGTACTCCAGTGGTTCGCATTTTGTCGCCGACCTCATCGTTCGCCCCCGTCTCCTGCCCAACGTCTACTGCCTCTTTGCCAAGAGGACAGGGGGGGACGCCCCTTTCGGCGCCGCTGCTGCCGCCGCCGCCGCCGCCGCCGCCGCCGCTGCGGCTGCTGCTGCGGCTGCTGCTGCTGCTGAAATCCAAACCGTCAAGAAACCCGTCTGATGAGGTATCGCAAATGTCATCCATCGCTTCTTCGGCGTCCTTCATCTCCTGACCGCTACACCACTCCTCTATCAGAAGCCCGTGACCCGTGGTTATGGGCATGTCGCCGACACTGCCACAGCTACTGCTGGTCTCTACATGTCCGCACACGCTGCCGTCGTTCGAGGGACCAGTAGGCGGTGCAATCTCTAAATTCACCGCCGATTCCTCTACAGGACGAACCTCGTTACCGACAGAGGAGCTCTCCACCTCTTCCTGCTCCGACTGTTGCTGCTTTTCCTGCTGCGCCCGCCGCAAGAATGCTCCCATGAATCGTGCCATGTCCTTCGTTTCTTGTCCGAGAAGCCTTTTTCTGTTTCGGAATTTTTGGCTCCTGGACAGTGCAGGCGGCGAGATTTTTTTCGCCGCGTTTCTTGCGGCGCGCGCTGCTGCGGACGCTACAGACCGGTGCGCAAAACGCAGTATCGACTGACCTCCACCACTGCTGCCGTTTGCACCGCTGGAATCCTCATCGCACCACTCCTCATCGTTGGCGTCCTCGTTTGCCGCTGCCGTCCCTTCTTCATCCACGTCCATCAAATCCGCGCCGTCGACTGGTGCATCACCAGAGCCGGGCGATGAGTTATCATTTTGCTGCGCCGGCTTCGGCTTTTTAGGAACCGCCCTGCCATCGGGTCCGCGATTTCCGAATTTCTTCTTCTTTGCCCGTCCCTTAGCCTTCCCCATGGTGCTTGTGTGCGTGTTTTGTGTTGTTCGGGTTGCCGTGTGTGCAGTTGTTGGGCACCGCGTGCGCCCAGGAAAAAAAAAAGTCACCGCATGGCGCGGAACAACAACAACGCGAATATCTCGAGAACCAGATTTTTCCCAGCAAAACCAAGAAATTCCCACCTGGGGATGGTCGAGAGGAATCGTTTGCCGCACTCTATTTTGAAATCGGTCGGTTAGTTATTGCATATAAAACAAAACAAGTTGACCCTTTAAATCAAGTTTTTCCCTGTATATCTCCGTCAATTTCGAATATTTCAAAAAAAAAAAAAATCCCACCTGGCAAATTCCGAGATCTGTCCAAAACCGTTGAGTTTGGTGGCATCAACAAACAACACACCTCTCGAAAAACAAAACAAGATTTTCCGGTTTATCGGAGATAAAAAGTCAAGGAAAAAAAAAAAAAACTCTCCGTCACGCGATGCGCCTGTAAACAGGGCGTTTTCCGGTATTTTCAGAATTCCGAATAACCACCTGTGTGCAGAGAAAAGTTGTCACTTGTGCTGGGAAATTTTGGGATTTTTACTTGTGCACGGACCATAGACAAGCTCACCTCAATGATCACCCGAATCCCCACCATTCGGGAACACTGGTCACACGTTCCGATGGGGTGGAGTGAGTCCTGGGTAACCCTTTTTCTCATTGGTTACTGTCGGAAATGAAATAATCAGGTGGCCGATCCCTCGCTTTGTGTGCGTGCTCCCCGCCCGGGACACGCGCCTCTCGGAGAGCGATAGATCTTTCGAAAAGTGGTCGATTGCACTCAAGAAGTGGTGCACGTCCAAGAGCCCCGCGAAGGACGTGAAGAACCCCAACCAGAAGACCAGCATCCTCGGCTTGAAGAAGCCCCTGCTTACAAGGCTCGTGACGCGAGAACTCCGCCTATTCTTCCTCTGTGGCCAAGACAAGAGCCTGGCCGAGTGTGGGCCCGATGGGCAAGGGTACAAGGTGATCAGGCCAGAGACTGGCAGCGTTGAGTGTTTGAATCGTCCGATGTATGGCAACAAACCCGTTGTTACCTGCGTTCCCTTACTGCGGTACGCGCGTGTGTTTTCATCCTGGAGGCGTGCGCTTCGCTGTTCACGTCGGCAGCGTGGCGATGACGAGAGGAAAGACAACTGGCCGCTAAATTCATTAGACATGACGTGAAAGAGCGAGGGACTCAAGAGGGAGCGTGTGCCCTTTGTCGAAAATACTCCGACCACTCACCCGAGTCCATCGTCACGCCTGAAGTGTTTTATTCTGTCTCTACAGAAACCTTCAATTCAGAGACCTTGATAAAGAGGCGATGTATCCTAATTGGAACCCAAAGAGGTAGGCACGAACCACACCCAATCATCCTTGGTATGCGTTGTCCAAACATCGAAGTGCGCCTACGAAAACTCATCCGCTTGCTATATGGTTTCCGGTGATAAACAGTGGCTCGATCACGAACCGCGGCCTTTTATGGCAGAGTAGGGTTAGCATTTTGGAGTGCCAGCCGTAGGGCACGCCTGATTTCCGTCATGTGTGCGGTGTGTGCGGTTAAGCGCCGTCCCGCGCCACATTATCTGCAGCCGATTCGCCCCGCCCCTCTGCTGTATTTGAATGGCCAGGTGAAGGAGTTTTTAGATTGGGTGGGGAAAGTGGCACCGGCCGCGAAGATTGGACTGACCCTCGCTTCAATCGCGTTGAAGGTGTGCACCGGTCTGGCAGTGTCTGCCGACACATTCGAGGCGGCGTTCGGGACATCAGAGGACTTGTCCGCGTTCGTACAGGACGCACTGTCCGCGGGCATCGAGGGGATGACGAGCAAGGCCGGCAACAGGCTTGAAAGGCTTCAAAACAGTGGACCGTCGGAACGGCTACCCCACGCTGGTGTGCGCGGTGACGGAGCGCAAAAGGTGAGGCTAGCTTTGGCGCCTGCGGTAGGTTGGTTTTGGTCTTGCCAGAAATGGCTGGAACATCAGGCAGAGTCTTCTTGGTTGGCTTCCTGTGTGTGGGGGATTCCTGCATGCATGTGCATGTCTGATCGTGTGTGTGTCGCTTGCCCTCGATCTTGTACATGATGAGTCGCGAAGGCTTGGTTGCTTTGGAGTCCCTACCAGGTATACTACCAAGACATACGCCATGCTCACAATAAAATGTTCGGCGCCAGATTCCCCCTCTCACATCCCGCCATGGAACGCTTTTAGCCATCGGGTGTAGTAGTTAATGCTTTGTTTGCTCTCCCCTCCGTGAGCAGAAATCGCTCGCTCTTGGTGCCTCTTACCGTGTGTGCCATGAGTTGTGCGTACGTATCTGTGTCTCTCTCAATCGAGATGAGTACATTCACTGACCTCTCTCTGCGCTCATGGCCGCCTTTCTGATTGTCGCATTATTTCCATCGCATATTGGGGCATTAGATGCTCGATATCCGACTCTGCACTTATTTTCCGCAAGTGGCAAGAAATGATTTTTTCTAGTCCTCTCACCCGTTCTCTCAAGCCCCGACAACGCTGCCTAGAGTCCGATTCTCCCTCCCTCCCTCTCCCTCTCTGTCCCGTTCACACACCGCAGCCGGTTCCTGTGATTTCGACGTGCTCATTTTTATCGTTTGCGCGAGAAGTCAGACCTCTTTCTTTGCGTTTACGCTTACATACTCTGCGTGCCATGCGTAAGGGGTATTATTAACGACAATAATATCACGCAAAATGTCACGGAAGCGTGTCTTCTTGAATATATATGGAGGTATTTTCCCCCGAAAACGTGAAAAGAAGGAGCCGAGATTTTGGGGGCTTACTACTATCACGGATCCGTGTTTTTGACAACTATCGGACAAGCGCACCGCGGGCGCTGTAACATCACTGAGAACGCTAGAAAGACCTGCCAGACTCACATCCAGGTCTGTTGTGGAGATGGACAAGCGGCAGAAGTGGCGCTCAGTCCGTTCTTGGTCCAAAACTAGACATTGCGTGGTGCTCTCGTCTTCAACTGCTGGTGTTGGTGCTGGGGATTTTTTTCCAATTACACATAGCAAACACGGAAACAGTTAGACCCTGGGGTTACCCCCCTGCGGAGCAACAAAAAACGGGCATGCTGCGAATAGATTTTGTTTTTTTTTTGTTTGAAGGGGGCACACAGACAGCAGTCCTACTTACTTGATCAAAGACAAGGAACTGGCAATCNCGCCGTCGAACCGGTGGGGTCCGCCATCTATGACCGGTCGGGCTGTGGGGTACTGGCTTTTTGTGTGTGCCAGCATCCTCAGTGAGCGCAGTGGACACCGCGCATTGCTGCGTGAACGCGCTTTGACCATATTTGTCCAGTCTGTTGGTGTGTGTTCGTGTGTCTTTTTATGTTGATTCAAATTCCGAACGTTTTTATTGGTCCAAGAAGGAAAAGCGCAGTCTATTTGCCACGAAAAGTTCACCCGGTTTGGGACACATTTTTGGCCTGAAAATAGGGGTAACCCCAGGGTCTAACAGTAGAACGAGTACAGCAGCAGCAACAAGACCTCCAACGCGCTGATTCCTTCGGTTCGGCTGTCTATTTGATGCCATCTCCCGGCGTCGTGCTGCTTCGTGGGTATTGAGTGCTTGGGTGCTACTCAATAAGGTGTGTGAGACATGTGCCACCTCACCAATATGCCGTTGGAAAAAATGCGGCGAGATGATCTGTTTTTAGTCAAACACGTCAACATCAATCCACTGCAATACGCAGCAGAAGAGCAACAGGGCCTCCGACACGCTTATTCTTTCGGATTGGCCATCTATTTGATGCTGGCCGTCAGCGCGGCTACCGCATTATGGTTGTTGAGCTCGTCTACCTTTGGGCAGGTGGTGGTCAAAGATGGGGGTCGCAACCGTGAAAATTGAGCTGCAAACTGAATAAATCGCAAGTACACCCAGGTTGCGACACTGTTTTGCGCAGGTTGCTGAAAGCTGAAAACAGCAGGCCGGGTGGATAGGATCTTATTCATTATGTTGTTCTCTGTGTCGGGTGCTGCTCATTGCGCTTTTACCGCTGCTCTATGGTGAGCAACACCAAGTCAACCTGTTTTGTGCCGAGCAAAGATTGTATTCAGGGAAGGAAACGTACTTTTTGCGATGACATCACGAATAGAGCAAGCGAAGAAAAGTCGGCTTTTCTGTTCATCGTTCCGTGGGGAATTGCACGACTTTTCCGTTGCGTTAATAACGAGCCTAAGACCCCTCGTTTTTACCTAAATACACGCCATTTGCTGTATTGTCACACGTTCAAGCGAACGGCTTCCTTGTCCCTTTCCCCCGGTGAAGCCTACCCCTTTGGAAGGGTTTGACTACGACAAGCTTAAGGAGGTGGTCAAGAGCTTCGAGGTGGACAGGACGCAGGGAGATGGTACTCGTTACCCCAGCTTCGACACCACCATGAAAATCGTGGACAGGCACGGAGGTGGCGTGGAGTGGGCATGGGTCAGGAACGGACACATCGACAAGTTCGCTGGTGAAAGCTAGCGTCGAGTTGGCGCCACGGTACCTGAAGGTTCGCCAAGTAGGAACATGCTTCAACCTTCGAGCATGTCGCGCCGTTTCGTGGGGCTTGGCCAGGACAGCGTATCGATGCGTTTGTTGGGAGAATGGTGGTATCGTTTTGTGGAGGTGAACTCCTGGTGCGAGCGTGGGGCTATAAATTTGTTGTGGTTCCCTGCCCTGAGATGGTGTCCTCCGGACCACGTGTTTGCTACAGTACGTATGTATTTTTTTGGGTAGGGCCGTTTCAACCTGTAGTTTTTTTTCGAAAGGAGACCATTCGCAATCCGTGCGGGTTTGAAGAGAGTCCGGTACCAGGTGTTGTTAACGGTCAAGTACGTGATGCGCCGGAATCACGCAAAAAAATGGCTGTTTTTTTCGCACCCCTCGGTAAACACAGTGTACCGAGCTACTGATCAAGGATTGGGAAGCATCTGGTAGTAGTTGTCGAGAGAGAGGGTAACAAAAGGATCCTTGTGCGCTCCCCGTCAGCATCGCTACGTTCTTGGAGCACGCCATGTCTTACTACTTTTTGATTTACCGCTATATGAGAGGCAGTATTCAGCAGCAGCTCGATTCTAGAAACGTGTAGCTAACCGCCAGCATTTGTTGAGCACCACCTCCAAAGCGAACGGGCCAGTCAGTAGTGGACTAATGGAGGCGTGGCAGAGAAGAAGCATTTCGTCAGCAGGTAGGACGCCTACAACATGGTGGGGTTGGGGTGCTTGTTGTATTGCCAGCAGCGAGGGAAGTTAGGGGTGGGAGGGGAAAAAGTTGGGGCAAACCGCTTCGAAAAAAAGTCTGATACCATACTCTGTCGGCCACGCCCTCCTTGCTTGTGGGAACACATTTCAAGCGCTGTGCACGAAGTGTCGATGTCAACTCTCAACTCGAAGAAACGCTAGTATTCTGCCGAGGAGCCCCCACGGTGGTGGCCCGTGGAACAAGGGGGAACAACGTGGCAACAGAGTTACAGCGACAGCAGTGTGGCCATTGTTTGTACCTCCTTTTCTCTTTTTAGGAGTTTTTTCCGCGCGCGAAGCGCGCGTGAAAAAAAAAACGGAGCGATAGCGGAGTTTTTTTTTCGCAAAAAAACTATTTTAGATGGGTCCTTTTGTTTCCCCGCCTGGGTTCTGCGCACGTTGAATAACACCGCCTGTCAGCCCGACCCCTGAATTTATTACTGTTCTCAAATTGATGTCCATGTGTGTGTTTTTTATTATTAGCATCGACCGCGCTAACCGGCTGACCAATGAAAAGACGTCAGTCTTAGTGCGGTTGAAAACACAAAACACTTCTATCTACCATGAACTGGGACCCCGTGAGGGGGCAGCATGGGGGAGGCTAAACTATCCTTCGAATTAAAAACAGAAACAGCAGCAACAGACGAAAAATGCACGCGTCTACCAAGGCTATTACCTAGTACTCGAGTTCGTTTAGGAGTACTTTCACCAGTGTCCTCCTTGTTTTCGCTACCATCATTCTGATCCTCATTTCGACAAGAAGAATCTCTGGGCAGTTCTTCCCTAGCCCTACGTTTCTTGTTGTGGGGAAGGTCATCTGGCTCAAACCCTTTGCTCTCTTCCACTCCTCCATGTTTTCCTGCTCCATCGTCGTCTTCATCCTCTTTTCTCCCCTTCCCCTTTCCTTCGTCTTCGTCACTCTCAAAAGATTTACTCTCACCACTATCGTTGTCGCAGAGATCCCAACCGATTGGCCCTGGTGGAAGTTGGTCGATCAGTAGCCCATGACGTTTGAACACATCGCGAGTTCGCATGGACGGAAAACGAGCTAGCTCGAAGGTAAACCGTCTCCAAATCCCGTTAGTATGAAAAGCTTTCAGGAGAACTAAGGCCCTCTCGTCGTCAAAATTTTCCCGGCAAAAAGCTTCGTGCGCCAAGTGGTTGGCGATAGCAACGATGAGTCGATTGGTGCCTTTGCCAAGACCACCATTCGTTGAAAAAGCAGCAGTAAGGAGGGTAGATCTAGACGGGTTGAAAGTTCCCGCATAGTGATTTGCCTTACTTGCAGCTCGATCTTCGAGGGCGGATCCTGGCTTAAGGATCGACTTGTCGATGCTTCGACCTGCGGATGGGTTGACGATTGTTACGTCGATCAGAATGGACTTGGTGCAGAGGTCCTCTTCCTTCTCTCCTGCGTGTAACCCTGGGGGGATTACGAAATCCATCTTGTATAGCCCCTTTCCCCTACCAGTGCCTGTGGTAAAAGGGGAAGAATCCTCAACGGCGATGGGCATATGGCACTCGCGCAGTGTCTTGAGGACCACTCGAACCATCCTGTTATGGAGGAAGGTTGAGGCGCCGGTCTTGGTGCAGACGAGGGAGTGGGCTCGGCTCAAGCGGTCCTTGCATGGTAACAATGCACCTGCACCACAAAGTTTGCCTGTGTTGCAGTCTGCTCGATCGTGACTCCCCAGTACACGACCGATTGACTCTCGATATAGATCAGGCAGCATTCTTTCATCTGCTGACAACCCTTGCGTTGTCAACCACGCCAAAACTCCCTTGCCTTTCTCTTCCTTCAAGCGGATCAACGC